CATTTGTATGGGATTATATACCGACAACTGCTCCTAATTCAACGACTGACTGCAGCTGATAGATGGGAACAGAAGGACGGACACCATCTCCCCATATGGCGTTCTACTATGTCATCATGTTCTTGCACAATGGGCCGTGCAAAACAACTCTTCGAACCAGGGCGGAGAGCCTGCAGACAAACGTCTGCAAGGAGCAGATGTCGCAAGCAGATGGCAGGGGACACAAGCCTGCGCACTTCCTCGAGTTTCACAGATTTAAACTTCTGCCTTTCCAGGTGTTTCCTTTCAGCTGGCGATCCTTGTCGGGGAATTTAAAATACTCCGTGTCCATTGGTACATTCTTGTTTCTTTGAGGTTATGAACAAATAATGTTCACCGTACGTTCTGTAGATTTTCAAGGTGCCACAGAAATACAATAATACATCTGTTACATGTTCATGGGGGCCACCAGGACGTTTTACGAGGGTAACAATCAGTTTTCCCGGGGAGCTGCCAGTTTTCCAAGTTGCAACTAGAAAAGCTGCGAACAAACTTTGATTCAAACCGTTTACACAGATTTATACTGTTTAAAATGTGTTTAAATGTTATTATTAATGGTTGGTAATACTTTCTTAATGCCGATCACGGTGGCCCCACGGTCTAAGGTATAAATTATCTGCGACTACTCAAACAATGGGATCGTGGGTTCGAATCCCACTTGGGGCATGGATGACTGTGTGAGTTTATTTTGTGTTTGTGCTGTCTTGTGTGCTGGTAGCGGCCTTGCGACGGGCTGATCACTTGTCCAAGGAGTCCTACGGACTGTGTAAAAAGATTAAGAAACTGAAAAAACGGCCAAGGTCCAACAAAGTGCTGTAGAGCCATAGTTAGGCAGGTAAATGCTTCCTTCGTTTCTTCAATTTTCATTTTCTAAAACCAGTGGAGGCAATGCCTAGTCCTTCCAAGCCCGCCGGCGCCTATGTACATGCTCGACACTGTCAAATAAAAGCTGAACTCGAGTTTAGAAAGAATTTTCAAATGTGTTATTTTCTGATTTCTTATCCCAAGGGTGTTGAGACTAGGAGCGATTGCGTGGGAGAGGCTCGGAACAGTCAAACAGCCACAAAATGACCATAAATAATATTAATTAATATTGGCAACGGGCACGAAACGGCTTCTAGTGTGTTCATGGTTGGTACCGGTGGAATGTAAGGTACAATCGTGTAGCACAATGGTTCTCAGCCGATGAGACGCACCAGCCGGCTGGTAGAAACATGTTAAAACGTAAATCTATCCCTGTAACAGGCCCTTGAGGCCCACAAGGTTGTGAGACGTCGAGGCTCTCACATTTTCTAGACAATCGGCTCACAGATGGCAGTGAGGTCAGCCTTACGCGCCGGCCGCTCTTTATCCCACAGGAGATCCCTGGTACTCATGTCTGTTAGAGACTGAGTCAACCCCAGGGCCATAGTGTGACTGGAAGTATTAGGTAAACTGAAAATAATCCAGTGAACTCATCGGGAATCGAACTCACGACTTCCCGGCTTGTAGCATAGTGCCTCAACCAACTACGCTACCGCGTGCCCCGGTTGGAACATGTCGTCTCGAAAATATGCAATTCCATTAATGCTCCCTATTAAATGCATTTAGTAAATTTTCGTAAAATACACTCGTTAAAATGAGATTTGTTTTTACTATGGGGATGCTACGGATTCTGACAAAGTATGCACACGGTCTAGGATCACTGATTACACCAGGGACCCAAACTCTTCAGATGTGACAGGGACTCGCGAAAGTTGCTACGCGATTATTGCATCCTTCAGTGACCTCAATGCTCGTTTATATCTGGTACAAATCCACTGCTAACAGAGATAATCAACAGTAAGGACGCTGAGCTTCATATTCATAAACTACACTCTCTGATAAACCAACCGAAGGCACGACAGGAGTTACGTGTATACCGGCGGCCCGCGGGTCCCTTATGTGACGGCCATCAACGAATTCTGATAAACAACATAGGCTATAAAATTATAGAGAAATACTACTCCCAAATAAAATAACTGCAAAACTGTAACTATATCAAATAAAATGTAAGAATTGTGTACATACGGTACAATAACTGAAACCACGCACCTGAATTTTATTTCTTTTCTCACATGCCGGTCGTGCGTCCCGCGTTACGAAAGTGTGTGTGTGGGGGGGGGGTCGAATACGGTCGGCCAATGACAAAAGACTGTCGACCTTGTTACAGAGTACAAGCACTAAAGACATTGACCTACGCGATTTTTAACTTCGATTTCGTTAACTGTACATTACATCAAAAAGCACTTCAAGTAACAGAGATCTTATAATGTATCCGTATACACTTGGTCGTCGACTTACGACAGGCCGCACTTACGACCACAAAAAAAATAAATAAATAAATAAAAGATGATTAAAATGTAAAAGTTTTTAAAAATAAATCATAAAGATGATAAAAAGATTAGAAAGGTTAAAAATACTACTAATAAATATATGGCCGACATACGACCAGCTCAACTTACGACCCGTCAGTCAGAACGGAAGTCGGTCGTAAGTCGACGACATTTGATCGTACAACACTTCTGGCGCTCTACGCGACAGCTCGTGTGGAGCACATTCGCAACGGTACGGAAATCCAATCACTATTCGTAAGACACTGCAATTATTATTCAATATCGGCCCTATAAATCATTCTGGAGCTACCGTCAGGTGAGCTTACGCGTTATGTGCAGGCCGGCCGGCCGTAATCCCGAGTCCCTTCCTTGTATTAAGTATTCAAACAGCCGCGCTTGTTTCTTGGTTGAAATGGCATGTGACAGGCCTAAATACAGAAAGAGTGCCTTTTTTTTGGGGGGGGGGCAAATGTTCTACATCATCCATCTCCTAAACAATAAATTGCAGAGCTGCGAGGAAAGAACAAATTTGTTTCTCTTTCTTCCCTGTGTTCCATGCAAAGCACATAAATGGTCCAACATTAATATCAGACATATGGACACCCTAAATATATGTAACAGAATTTTATCTTCAACATCGTAAGTCAGGTAACTAAGTGGAAGAAAACAAAAAAAACGTTTACTTTTGAGCGCCTGCTCCACAAAACTCTTAAAAATCTGTAAAACTTTTCACAGAGCACAAAAGAACGTACGCTCCAGAAGAAACGGTATCTTGTAAGGATCCCTGGCTGAGAGGTAGTTGGGCCCTTGACCCTACAGATGGAATAAGCACGTACATACGAACCGAACCAATGCTCTTCTGTTCAGGTGGCTGCGGAACCGCTGCGTAAGACCTCTCTGAGAGTGGTTTCACTCACAGAACCAACTTCGGCTGCCTGTAAATGATCTTTACTAAATGAAAAGGCACAATAGATCACTGTGGTCGCGGTGCAAGGGCCAAGGAGGCCCACCCCTTATACTTTCACATTCATTACTAAATGAAAATGTAATACAGATTAAACTCTGCCACACTTAGGACACGCAATGACTGTCCGTACTGAATGTCTGAAGATAAACACATCTCTTCTTAATTTTCGGGAGGTTTATAATTACTTCAATAAGGAAATTTCCATGACGTGGCGTACCAAAGTACTTCCAATTTCTCTACCTCCCGCCCCCGGATCTTTATCTCGGCATTGCATTATTTGTTCTAGTTCAACGGCTGCTGGAGATGTATTTGCTCAAATTACCTTTCTGGTCGCGACATCCAATTAATTCTTTCCCATGATAACCACACAACTTCCTTCCCAAAATTTCTTGACATAGCTAACTAATGATTCTGACAGTCGTCTACATTCCCAATATGTGTTTCGAAACCCACAGACACGACAATCTTACGAACCATGAGAAAAAGGTACAGAAGAAACAGTGTCGCCGATTAAGCACGGTTACTAGCCCTCAGCTAGAAAACAGTGGCTTGGACACTCCACCAGCGTTTACCGATACCCCTACCCCCTTAAAATAAAGCAAAAATTTACCCCTTCCTCCTTCCCCTTCACCAATCTCTGTTGGTCAGCTTAAAGCGCAATTCTGCACAATGATGCACGTCCCTATCAGACTGTACAGTGACAGCATGAACCCAAATAGTTTTACAGCATCACTATGCAATAATACAGTGCGTACAATCAAGTGCGCGCCGCGGCTGCAATTTGCCGTGAGTCATACCACCGCAGAACGGATGCAGTCGCGGGAAGGAGTTGCAACTCCTCCCCGCGACTTCATCCGTTCTGCGGTGGTATGACTCACGGCAAATTGCAGCCGCGGCGCGCACTTGATTGTACGCACTGTATTTTACCACACGGTCACGATGAATTGGCCGACTGCAGCTACATTTTCCGAAAGCAGCTATAATCTATCTTATTTACTCGTCAAATTGCCGAACCTCAGCGTGGTTACAATTACATTTTAGATAGTTCTTGAGAACTCGGCGATCTGCCTTAGAGTAGACCGCGACCCCTTCATCTCAGGGGGTCGCGACCCACACTTCAATTAACCATGAACTAATACAACATAGCTGGTAACCGTATTCTAAACATTTGTCGAAATTAATCAACAAGCGGATAAAAAGACAATAAATATGTGATAAATTATCAGGTTATGTGGCTTTACGGAGACTTTTTTGTAAGCATGTACTCACCTCAGCAGATGCCTGTAGACAAGCCGCTCTTGTGCACACGGGGAACAGTTGACTGTGCGGAGTACGGGGCCATGTGGACGCTAGCGTGATGATCACAATGATGAACACTAGCAACAACAGCATCACGACACCAGCAACAATAAGTCCGAATCGGGACAGGCCAGTTTTCTGACGCAACTTATCTTCCAATCCCGAAAAAAAGAGTGATGATTCTCCTACATCTGCGGCAGCTTTGGCTTTCCTCTTCTTGTTCAGACTGTTGTTCGACGAATGTAATTTTGATTTCACTTTGATTGGGGCACTGTCAATTTCATCGGGAGACTGTTGTAGTTTACTGTTGACAGGTAAACATGGGTCCATTTCTCCTGCTGCTGATGATTCGGCATTGACCGGGGATTCCGTTTCCTGGTCACGTTTCCCATTTGCTAACGGTATATACACGTTAGCTTCCACAGTCGCTTTTCTCCCTTCCGAATCCGAAGAAGAACCGCTAGCAGGGCTCCCCGGCATATTCATTAACGCTTCTAGAGATACTGATGGGGAAGTTAAAGTGTTGTTCGTATCTAGTTTAAGTTAACACGGACGCAACAATAATAATAGTATATCCAAATTAAATACATGTAAGTACGATGTACTGGAGTCTGGATGCTGCAGAGCATAAACAACTGAAATTTCACACCTATATTTACGAAACAAAACGAACCACAAATTAGCAATCTTATTACTCCAATTAACTGTATTATAGATGATAATCAACGCATGACACTGTTGAAATATTCTTGCATCATCTAAAACAGGTACAACAAATGCTAGTCTTCATTCGTAATCCGAGTCTCATAACTGTAGGTTGTACTCTCAACTCGCATCTAACTTATTTGTGAACTAGATCCCACAGCACACATTAATTACCAAGAAAGTGACAAGAATCAGTTGCCATCGAACTATGCAGAAGTTGATATCCACTAATTGTTGCACTACACAAGAAAAATTACAAACCACATGACATTTGATTTTAAATTCAAATAAATTAACCTTTATCACTCGTTTACACACGGTTTATAAATTTAAAAAAACTTTCCAACAATCACTGCTCAAATGCCGCTCACTGCTCTCGGCGCGAACAACTCACACAATGCTTCTGGTTCGCCGGTAGAGGCTTGTGTGACAGCTTTCTCTTCTATACACCAGAGGTCACATTGAATGGCGACAAAAAAGAAATGCGTATCTGTGCGCGCAGGTTTCGTGCTACAACAATCTTACGCCTTATGATAATTTAATCTTCCACGTCAACTGAGAATCTCGTATTAGTAGTAACAGCAAGACGCTTAGTGATGTGTTGATGTTATTTCTCACGACGTTCCTTCTGTCAGCAAAACCTAGTAATCATAAAAGCGACTGTATACCCTTACATCCTTAGAGCAAGAGTTAACAAAAACAATCATTAGCACTCTCGCAATGGTGGGAATTAAAACATAAAAACCCATTAACACTGTTAATAAATGGGCAGTTACATTCATATGAGGTTAAACAGTACCTCCTACATCTTGAAGATAAGAAAATACGCATTAATCCTTGTTTTCAGTAAAAGCAACAGCCAGCGGTACACGCAAACATACAGCTACCGACCGAAATCTCTCCCGCACATGGCAGTACTAAACATCGGTTTTCATTCACGCCGTCAGCGTGCATTAAATAACAAAAAAGAAATATGGCGGCTGTGTGAGCATGCAAGCAGCTGAATCTGACCTTCATTCAAAGAACGAACCACCAAGCAACAGGTTTTGTCGACTAACCCAAGCCAAGCCGCCAACAAACAAGGGATGTACAAAAATGACCAAAAATGAAAGATTTAAGCTTCTCAAATCACAGTTCTGTTCTGAAACGAAAATATGCATTAATACGAAAATACGCCCTCATTTTGCTCACTATTTGTGAGAACAATAACACATTATGCAGCAGAGATGAGCCAGACAACTGATGCAAGAGTCCAATCTGCAACAAACCGACTGCGAACTCCATCAGTATTAAACAAGCAAGTTAGCTTAGCGCCAACTTGGGCGATTTGTATTATCTATGCACCCATGCCGAAACGGCTGGGATGCCGATTATCATCACGGAAGTTTCTGTGATTTTAAACAGACTTTCCAGGTGACGCTAGGACACGGGTGTACAGCAGGACATCACCTGCTTATTCCTTTATTCTTTGCACTTCATCAATCATAACCATTCTCTCATTTACCTCTGTTCTATATAGAATGCTATGAAATGGAGTTTCAGGCTGTTTGAAAGCAGAGTGACTGTGACCAGCAGTACATAATACGGAACTGCATAATTTTGAGTTTTTAGCAGATGCTGTTAGGACGAACAAATCTAGTAGGATGTGATGGGCCGGACTTGAAGCATGCACGAGAAATGACAAATGCACATAGACATTTTAGTCCGAACCCCCCAAGGGAAGAGGCCAATTGGGAGAACTAGACATAGATGGGAGGAAATACTGAAACATAGGGTGATAAATGAAGGAAATGTGGTATGAAGGTGTGGACTGAATATGTATGGCTCAGAATAGCGACAAGGGGCAGGCTGTATTTCTTTTATTGCTAGTGGGGTGGGACTAGGTCTCTTGTACTGCGGCCAATTCTAACCTATTGTACCAGCCCCAGATGATAGGTGAGGGTGATTGTGGAGCAATGGTAGAATGAAGATTGGCAGGGGAAACCGAAGTACTCGGAGAAAACCTGCCCCAGCGCCACTTTGTCCACCACAAATCCCACTTGACCAGACCCGGGATGGAACCCGGGCCGCCGTGGTGGGAAGCCAGAGACTAACCGCTTGAGCTATGGCGCGTCCCTGGCAGGCTGTTACAAACACTGTAATGAATCTATGGATTCCACACAAAACGGGGGATTTTTGAGTAGCTGAGGGACTTTCAGCTTCGCAAGGACTTCGCTCCTTAAACATTAAACAACGAACCGAGTTCTTCATTTTCTTTAAATTCTCCTCCATCGATCCTGACTGAGCGAGAGTCGCTCTTGTGTAGCTCTTTCAGGCAAGCAGGTTGCTACATACAGAGCTTTTACATTTAGACAACTCTGCATTTTCTACCACAGTGTATATACGTAGTAAGAGTTTCGTATGTGTCTAATGGACCGCCTCTGTGGTCTAGTGGTCAGAGTTCCTGGCTACAGATTCAGAGGTCCGGGTTCGATTACCGGCGCTACCAGTTTGCTGAGAAGTAGTGGGACTGGAACGGGGTCCACTCCTTTCTCGCCTGAAGACGGAAACAGATCCAGTTTCCGAAACGTCGTGCCCTCTATTACCTAGAATTCCAGACGATGGAAAAATTCCAAAAACCCAGTAATTCTGTGTGTCATCCACCATCTTCGGAACCCTTCAGAATTTATGAAGTGATAGATGTTTGGAGGGGGGCACGCGGTAGCGCAGTTGGTTGGTGCACTATGCTACAAGCCGGAAGGTCGCGGGTTCAAGTCCTGATGAGGTCATTGGATTTTTTAAATTGACCTAATCCTTCCGGCCGCACTATGGCCCTGGTGTCGACTCAGCCTCTAACAGAAATGAGTACCAGGAATTAATTAAATAATTTTCCTGGGGAGTAAAGCGCGGCCGGCACATAAGGCTGACAACCGTACCGCCATCTTTGAGCCGATTGTCTAGATAATGTGGGAGCCTCGACGTCTCACAACCCTATGGGCCTTCACGGCCTGTTACAGGGATAGCTTTACTTTTTTTTAATTATTTTTAGGTGTTTCGAGAAAATTGCATAATGAGGAGCTTCATAACTTGTACTCTCTGCCAGGTATAATTAGAATTATCAAGTCAAGGAGAATGAGATGGGAAGGGCATGTAGCACGAATGAGATATAAGCTGGGCACATATAGGATTTTGGTGGGAAAGCCATACAGAAACAGTCCACGAAGAAGAGACAGATGTAAATGAGTGGAATAGAAACCAGTGGAGGGCTCTTATGAGCACGGTAATGAGTCTTCGATTTCCATAAAATTGTGGGAAGTTCTTCAGCAGCTACACAACTGGTGCCTTCTCAAGAAGCGCTCAGCTCTATGAAGTTAGTTTTAGTTAGCTTTCCTATTACTGAATACGCATCACTGAAGTCCAGTACTGATATCATGTGGTGCCAAATACCGTGAACAATACGCGTTTAGAAAGTTCAAATGCAGTTGCCCCTACGTACGGTCTTCCAAAGGCGACACTTTAGAGGAGGACCGAAGGAAAAGAATACAACTGATCACATAACTTAGCCTTCTTAAAGAGCTAGAATGTGATCTGAGGAACACATTTCTTCTTTAGAACATTTGGCTCTCGGGAATTAGTATGAAGAGTCCACGACGGTTTGCATACCACCTCGCAGGAGCAAACTGTTACGTACCGTTACGTGGACAGGGAAAAGTACGTACCTCCTAACAAGTGATACTATAGCCTCTTTTTGAGACGTCGTTCTGAGATTTCCTAGCCGAGATCGTATGCCCCATCTGTCGAACACTTCAGAACAATGCTTCCCAAGTAAATTAACCATATACGTCTATAGGCTGGTGGCCCAATGGTCATAAATACAGGGCAGCTGGTGATGTCGGCCTGTTACCAAAGCTCAGTGACTGTCAGAAAAGGCAGGAATTCTACATTTACGGCTGTTATAACTAACAGTGCTGATAGACAGGAGAAAGAAATGAGGCTGAATAAATCGAAATACTCAGATCGAAGAAAGAAATGTTTGAAACCCCCACCCACCAGTGCGCAAGCCGGAAAATGTGCAGGGGCAAGATGAGTGGCCTATTAAAACATGCACACGGCACGACGAGTGCACTTTTGACAACGCTGAAGCCAAAACTGTACCAATATGTTCTAAAGTGGCTCATATGCTCACAGCATGTACGGTACTGCGTCACTTCCCGAGTCACACATCGCAGCTTGTTTAGGATTCAGCAATTCTGACATCAACAGAGAGCTTCAACGTGCTGCAGAGTGGCTGGCTCTCTTCACGTATCCGGAGTCTTTTGTGTACAACCGAGAAGTGCACTATGTTGCAGCCTATACTGAGGCCACGGAGAGAAGTCCTGTAAATATTGGTAACACACGATAACTTTCAAAACTGACAAGCTCTTGTCTTTTTTTCCTTGTTAGCTCCTTGGGGTGGGGTGAGAGTGAGTCCACTTGGTACGTCGGCGACTAACTGGCCTATTGTACCAACCACGGATGATAGACGATGAGTGTGGAGCAGTCGGTGGAATGAGAATTGGCAGGGGAAACCGAATTACTCAGAGAAAACCTGCCTCAGTGTCACTTTTTCCACCACAAATCCCACATGACCCGACCTGGGCTCGAACCTGGACAGCCGCGGTGGGATGCCGGCATGGCCACAAATGACAAGCCCTTAGATATGGTTTATATGGGTCAGAGGGGTAGAGGTAAATGTAAATCTATACCTGAGCTTCAATTGGTGAAGCGCCACGCCATTTATAAGAAAAACTTTATTCCCATACTAAGACATACGTTTTTGGAGTTTCACTTAAATATGCGTCAAGATGTATGAAGTGGGGAAGGCATCATTCTGCCATTATTAACCTCGGCACTAGATGGAGCTGAGTGGTCAGCTTCACGTTCCTGTAGCTTTAACCCCCGGGAAAGCGATCCTTGTACCAAATGTGGGCACCAGAGCCAGTCTGGACGTTAATGGAGAAGAGACCAATTTATTTCCCCTACCGGGATTCGAACTCCAATTCCTCGGTCGTCCAGCCCATAGCCTAGTCACTGTACCAGCTGAGCTATTCCGGCTATTCCAAACGTGGCAGCATGTAATACAAGAAGAGTATGGTAGGCAGGGAGGGAGAACATTCCAGCGTTTCCACCCTCCTCCTTCCGTGGGACTGCTTTCCGTCGCCGCAGTGTAGGGCAGGAAGGGAGACATGGGCAGCGAATGTGATAACGGCTATCACTGGTCATTACAGGCTTTATCTGTATTAACATCTGGAGTCACCTGATAACTCGACAGTTCATCAAGCAAGACATACCTTTGCAGTTCCTTTATGTAACACCGACCAGCATGGTTACCCAGGGAGAGATAATTACAAGAAAGCCATTCTGACGATTATTTTGAACCACGAAATACATAAAGTCTTCACTCGAGATGTCAATGGCTTCTCTAGGTAGCTGCTTTGCGACAGGGCTGATCACACATCTATACAGTTCTACCAACTGTCTATAAGATTTCTAGTTCCACATTACTTCTGATGGGGAAATGCCAGAGGGTATAATCCGTCAAGGCAGAAGAAGAAGCAGAAGAAATGCATAAAGTCAAATGCAAGAAGCTCTCTCACAAACAGAACGAGTAGCATTTGTGTCACTCTCGAAACTATATTGTCCTACAGGTTACGAACTGAAGAAACATCTAGCAGGTGGTTAGCAGTAAATACGTGATTAACCTCTCCAGTCAGTACTGGGGCAATAAAGGTGTCTTAGTGGTAACAATTATATTTCATATTAATCCAACAGCATACAGTAAATAGGTTACCACCCCTGGTGTTTTCTGTAGGATAATTCTGTTACATGCCGATCACGGTGGCTGCGCGGTCTGAGACATGAACTGTCTTCGCTCGCT